CAACAGGCCGATCTGACCGGGTCTCTGGGAACAGCAGGGGAACCCACGGGCACCGTCTGGTCCATAATCCAACTCCTGTGGGGCTGACCCGATAGCAGCAGCCTCTGTGCAGAGGATGGGGCGGTAGGACGGCCTGCCCGGGAGCATCTCAGGGAATGAACCCGAATGAATTCCTGTTCAGAGTCAGAGCGCAGGCACCTGGCTGCACAGAGAGGCGGGGTCTGCTGCCTGATGTGCCGCACCTGGCCGGCCCTGGGCATCTGAAGATGCCCCAGAGAGGGTGGAGGGGAGGTGGGTGGGCGGGGCGCGGCCTGTCATCAGCTCGCGGGCCGGAGAGTCGACCACAGCCCAGGGAGAAGGCCTCCGAGTCAGCCTTGGCGCCGCCGTGCCTGCCCGGAGCAGATAAGAGGTGCTGACTGCTCGCGGGGGGAAGCAAGGGGCTGTCCCGGGGGAGACTGGTCACGGGCGAGACCTGAGGACCCCGGCCCCTGGTGCTCCGTCTCTCTGGAGGAGGAGGTGGAACGCCATCTCTGTCTCAGGGTTTTCCGGGCTCTTTGTTGGACGGGCACCGCAGCTGGGAGCCCCGCTCCAGGGAGTGCTGCAGGCTGGCCGCGGAGGCGTCAGAGGCAGCCTGGATCCATGTGTGTGTGTCTGACATGGGATCCAGGAAGGGGCCATCTGCTGCTTCCATCTGCGTTCGCTTTTGTACCTTTCACTTCAGAAATAATCGACACCTTCAACCTCACTTTCTGAGGACTCTGTTCATTGAGTTTATCCACTTCGGTCTGTGTTTCACCTGAAAAGTTTTGTAATAACCCCTGGGACACAGAAATCCATTTTCTCTGGGTACAGAGAGAAACCTGGCTGAAGTCGGTAGAGGCTGGGGCCCCTGTGGGTTGGGGGAACCCCTCTGCCCCGTGGAGAGCCCCCGGCAGACTGGGCAGGAGCAGAAACCCACTGAGAGGCCCCAACACCACGTCCACTCCCCCAGGCATGAGCGTGACCTCCGGGCCTTCTCCACGGCCCGGAGCCGCTGAGGCCTCGAACCCCTGCCTTGCTCACGGTGCTGCCCGGCCCCGAGGGGAGGGCCAGGCCTGCGGTCGTGGACAGAGGGTGGGCTGCTCAGGGAGAGCCCAGCCCTGCTCAGCCCGCCCTGCTCCGGGGGCTGTGCCCCCATCCCGCCCACCACCCCAGCCTCTGCCCAGTTCAGCAGCACCTCGGGGGCCCCGGGGAGGTGGGTCAGCGTCTGGGGGCCAGGGGAGTTTGTCACAGCTACAGAGGACTCTGGGAAGCCATAAACGACTGGAGAACATGGAAACAGCAGTTTCCAGGTCGTGGATGTAAGTTTCTAAGCTTTCTACCCGGAGAAGGAGCTGGTCTCCCCACAGCGGGGGTGGGTCCAGGTCTGTCCAGGGCTGGGGGTTTGTGAGACAGTAGATCTGTACACACTCCGTTCAAGCGTGCATCCATCCGGATCATGGAGCCTCACGCCTGGTGCTGCGGTTCTTTGTGAAGAACAGGGAGGGGGAGCAGGGGCCCCTGGAGGTTAGGGCAGAGGAGAGGGGGGTGGGGAGGGCGAGGAGGCAGAGAGGGCGACCCCGGCCCCTCACCTGGCCCCTCTGCCCCTCTGGGCCTCTGCCCCTCTGCTCCCAGCATCTCCAGTGCGTCCTCCAGACTCACTATTCCTCCCTTGGACGTGGGCACAGATCCCTGAATGGATCCAGCTGGGCCGGACCCAGTCACTTGCGTAACTTACTCCTGAAATAACAAACATCCGCCTCCCCAGTCCCCACCCCGCCCTGCCTCTCCCGTGGGAGTCAGAGTCCGCCGAGTGGAGGCGTGGACGCCGCGTCTGGCACTTCCAGAAAAGCCAGTCGGGCAGACCCGCCCTCGGTCCTGGGGCTGCCAGCGGGATCCCCGCCCAGAATCTCGGTGGAAACCCCGGGGGGCGGTCCACAGGGCCCCTGGAACAGAGGGGGCTTGCGACCCCAACCTCACCCAGGATGGAAAGCCAGGAGGTCGCGGCTGTTCAGACCCTCTGGAGTGGGGAGGGAGAGCTGGAGCCTTTCAGATCGTGAAGGGACCCGGGCTGGCCTCGTGTTCTGATGCCCCCCGCCCCATGCCCTCTGCCAGGCACTTGTGTTGGGATCTCCCTCAGAGCAGGAGACAGACTCGCAAGGCTGAGGACACGGCGGCTCACTTTATGTTTCTAATAAAAATCTACCTAGACAGAGTTTACAGCTCATCAGAATAGCAGTTCATTAAAGGTAGTGAAATGTACAAATCGTGGGTTCACAAGGGTGTGTGGAGGCTTCCATGGGACGGTGACTTGGGGAGGAGGAAGCTTGTAAACAGAAGCTGTTAATCGATATGAATCCCAAGGTGGGAATAAATGATGCCACCTGCCATTTATGCCATCAATTCCTTAAAAAATAAATAAAAGTAAATCGTGAGATTTTCTTTTTTTCCTTCAAAGACCTTAGAAGGGAGGGAGACTCAAGAAAAAGGGGACATATGTACACCTATTGCTAATTGATGTTCGTGTATGACAGATCAAACCGGTATAGTAAAGTAGTCATCAGTCAATTAAAAATAAATAAAAATAACTTTTTAAGAAGGCCTTAGAAGATGCCGCTGAGACTGTCCCCACGCGGCCTGCGTCTTGTTTCGGCAGCCACCCTGAGGAAGTGCCTTTCGGATCCGCAGAGGCCGCGCCATCTGCACAGGCCCAAGGTCCTCATACCCTGATACCCGGCAAGGCCCCCCCGGGTCTCAGGTCCTCAGAGAAGCTCTGGAGCGGCCTCCCTGCTCTGAGCCCGATTCGTGTCTCTGAGGGGGCGGTGGCCGAGGGCTGGTCCCGAGGCCCCCAGGGGCCCCGGGGCTGACCCCGCTCCCCTCTCGTGTCCCCACGGCGCTGCTCTGCCCATTCCTTGTGGGGCCCGGCCTTCCACAGTGGGGACGCAGGAGCGGCTTTCGCTCCAGGACGTCGGGCGTCGCCTCCGAGGGACACGGACAAAGGGCGACACGATGCTCAGGGCCTGACGCCCGGCCGCTTGAGCCCCCGCACCAGGGGAGGCCTGGCCGGTCTGAGGGCTCCTGGCCGCCCTGGGAGCTGCGGCTCCGGAATCCCCTTCCCTATGGAAGCCCCGGTCTCAGTCCCCGGCTGGGGACTCTCAGGCTCCCGCCCCCAGGGCTGTGGAGCTTTGGGGAAGACGTTCCGGAAGGTTCCAGGAGCAGGCGGGCCACAGAGCCTCCCGCTTCGCTCCTGTTTGGGCCAGTGGGCAGTGAATGGAATTAAGCGACATCAGCAAGCACAGAGAATAATTGCTGAGGGCTTGCCGCCCGTGTGCTGAGGGTTCCCAAGATTCGGGGACTCCGGAGGGTGGAAGCCATGTGGAGAGGTGGGCTTTCCTGGGGTCGGGGTCAGGGGGCGCTCGGGGCAGGGCATCCTCTGCCCAGTGAGGGGAGCTCTTCCCTGGACAGAGTCACGCCCCCCTTCCACACCCACTCCTTTCCCCTCCCAGTCTCGCTATCACACACGCATGCATGCACACACACTCATACACACACACTCAAATGCACACATGCACACACACTCGTACACACACGCACACACGTGCACCCCACCGCCAATTCCGCCTGCAGGAACAGAGTGGCCACGGTCACTTCTCCCTCCTCTCTCTGTTCCTTGGTCCCTCCTCCTCCCGCTCCCTCTTCTTTCTTTTCCTTTCTTCCGTCTTCCCTCTTTTCTTCCTTCATTCCTTCTTTCCTCCTCCCCCTTCTTTCTTCCACAGCACAGACACTAGTCAACATAATTACACAACAAAAATAAGTGTTTAAAAGTAAGACTTTGTTGTTGTCTCTTTACCGAAACACTGTTAATTCTAAAAGAATATTTTTATGTTGAGTTCAACATTTAAACCACCCCTCTGGTAAACAGACATAAACTGACACTGTTCTAAATACATTATTTATTTTGTTTAAAAATTTACAACAAGCCCATCAATAATGCATCCGACTGGAGAGCATTCATTTGCTTCAGGCCAAGCACCAAAGCGCCAAATTAGACTCAGAGTTCTCACCACTCCACCCTCTGCAGTCAATATGCTCGCGAAGCCGTGCAGGCAAAGGTGGCAGAGCAACCCCAGGACAGAGCGGACGTGCCTCCCATGCCCGCTCCGCCCGCCGGAGAAGCCTCAGGCCCCCGAGCTCGCCACGTGCTTGGCGGTCGGTCAACACGAACACCAAAGGCTGAGCTCCCAAAGAGCTGACGTCCACACGGTCATGTCCAAAGGAGTTAAGAGCTTTTCTGGGGGAGGACCGTCCGGGAAAAGAATGGACACAGATCGCTATTGGTTCTTTCCCATGTAGGAGTCCAAAAGGATCATCTTAAAATTGCTCTTTACTAAAAGGAAGCCCCAGAGCGCAGGTCATGTAAAATCCAATCACTAAAACATTCCAAACAGCGAGGAGTCATTTGATAAACTATCTGGTTACAGCAGCTCAGGCATCTTCCCAAGCCCACGAGTCTGGGCCGATTGTGAAAGAGGAGCCAGCCCTGGGCACACTGGCTGTGCCCAACCGCGGGGCTGTGACCAGCACCGAAAACCACCCCACCCAGAAGGAGGCAGGGCAGGGAGGCGGGAGGGGCGTGGCTGGGCCGAGGAAAGTCGGGGCTGCCCGCGTCGGCGGAGAGCGCTCCTCCAGGGCCCACTCTGACATGCCCGCCCCCATCCCGGCCCCGGTGGGTGCCACTGCTGGGACTCCGCAGAGAAAAGGCCTGGAGGAACACTGGGCCCAGAAGTGCGGGGACTCCTTGGTCGTGTCATTCCGCAGACCCCTGGCTGCGTGTCCGTGTTCCAGCAGCAGGTTTGAAGCACACCCAGACACGTTTACTGCTGGAGGCCTTGCAGCAGAGACAGGGCACGTATTTTCTGTGAAAGCCTAGTGTCTCCTCTGAGCGGGGCCCGGGCGGCCCTGCTTCCCACTGAGGTACTGACCCTGCGTGCCAGCAGCCATCCGGCTGGGGACCAGGGAGCCGTGGGAGGCAGGGCTGGCTGGGATCGTGGTCACCGCCAGCCCCAGGGGTCCGGGCCAACGCTGCCTGCGGGAGCCCCAGGGAGGGTGACGGGGGACCGGCCGGGGCTTAGGGGGCCGGCTAGATAGAGTGAGACGGAAGGGCCTGCGTGCTGAGCGTCCCCTTTTTTTTTGACGTGGGCTTCCCTGGGGCTCAGACAGTCAAGTATCTGCTTGTGATACTGTTAGGGGAAGCACACTGATTGAAACAGCCCGCCCTGGCCAGGCACCATAGTAACCATTTGCGTGAGTTGTTTTATGGCAGGAGATCCTGATAAGGAATGCAGGAGATCCTGATAAGGAATACGGAACTAATAAGCCACCACCAGCTGGAAGAGTTCGGGAAACGTCAAGAGGAGACACTACCTGTCCGTCCACTTCCCAGAATCCCTCTTGCTAGTATCCATCTTGGCTGAGCGATGCGTGCGCCACCAGGAAAGACTCTGAATTAGAATGATTGGCCAAAGACCACCCGGAAACTAATCCCATCACCATGAAACCTGAGACTGAGCCACGCGGCAGAGCAGTTCTTCTGGGTTCCCTCACCCTCCTGCTCTCCACCCGGGTGCCCTTCCCAATAAAATCTCTTGCTTTGTCAGCACGTGTCTCCTCGGACAATTCTTTTCCGAGTGTTAGACAAGAGCCCAACTTCGGGCCCTGGAAGGGGTCCCCCTTCCTACAGCACTACAGGAGACCTGGGTTCAGCCCCCAGGCTGGGTTGATCCCCTAGAGAAGGAATGGCTGCCCACTCCCGTATTCTTGCTTGGAGAATCCCATGGACAGAGTCCCTGGTGGGCTACAGTCCATGGGGTTACAAAGAGTCAGACAAAACAGAGAAGCCAAATATATAAGTTTTTAAATGGAATTTCATCACCTAAAAGCATTGGCAAACCAGCAGGCCTGTGGGAGAGACGCCCTGCCTGGGGCCCGAGTCTAGCCTTCCTGCCACAGATGGGACTCCGAGGCCACGAGCAGGGGACGGCCTGTCCCGGGTCCTGCAGGCGGGTGAGACTGGGGCCGGGCCGGAACTCCGCTCCCTGGGGACAAACGCCAAATTCTGTCTGCGGGGCTGGCTCATGACTATACTTTGAACCAGTCATCTCTTCCCTGAGCTGACTTACGCATTCAGCGACACGGGTAGACCGTTGCCCTGAGTGCTCATGGTCTTTAAGATTTAAATATAAGAAAAGATTTAAAGAATATGTACGTGTGTTAGTTAATATGCTCATGTATTATATTAGATTTTGCTAGTTAAGTGTTAGTTGCTCAGCCCTGTCCGACTCTTTGTGACCCCATGGATTGCAGCCCCCCCAGGTTCCTCTGTCCACAGGATTCTCCAGGCAAGAATCCTGGCATGGGTTTCCATTCCCTTCACCAGGGGATCCAGGGATTGAACCCAGCGACTGAACTCACATCTCTGTGTCTCCTGCATTGCAGGCTGATTTTTTTTTTTTTTATCATCTGAGCCACTAGAAAAGCCCTTAAGATTTTACTATAGTCTAAAAAACAACAACAGAATTGAAGGTTTTACTATATTCTATTATTATTATATATGATTTGAATATGTATGCTCTTGTTACAGGTTTGAAGGGAAATAAATGCCTCAGGTTCCAGCCCCTGGTCCTCTTATCTGCAATGTTCCCACACCCCCTTGGGATTCTTTGCAGATGAATGAAAGACAGGGGTCATGGAAGAAGAAAGAGATAACAGGAACCTGACCAGCCCTCTGATAAGGAGGCCGGTGGAATGCCTGGAATTCCCTCTGAGTCCACATCCCACCCTGCAGGCGTGGAGGGGCAGCCGGCCCAGGACGGGGAGACCGGCCTGGGGGCTTCCATCTCAGCCCCAACCCCATCATTTCTGTGGGTGGGGCATTTCTGGCCCTCGTCTCTGAAATTAGAAGGCTGGGCTGCCATCTTTCTATCCCAAAACTGGTAATCTCTGGGGTGTGAGAGATTTCAAATACCGGACCCAGGGCTTGCCTTCCCTGTGTTGTGATTTATCTGTGAGTCATCTGTTTGGATTCACTGAGAAGATCCGGCCGTGCCTGCCTCGTGCACCCGACCCCGTGACATCTGCCTTTGCAAAGTGCTCACCCCAGATAAAAGCTGATTGCAGAGCAAGAGTCGATGAGGTAATGCAATTGTCCAGATGTGTAGAATGTGGGGTTTCACTACGACCACAACACCCCACACCTGCCGGGAGCGCTGCGCTGTAGTCTGGGGGGCAGGGAGCCCTGCTGAGAACAGCTGGCGGCCTCCCTGCTGGCTCCCTGGACCTCCACGGGCAGGATGAGGTCAGGGTTTGCGGAAAGCGGTGGGGACTGGCCACAAAAACAGGCACGTGCGCACGCACATCCTGATTCCCACCCGCAGGCTTCAGGGGCTCGAGGAACCTGTCCCTGGACCCTGGCGGCTCTGGGATGTCCCCAGGGACGGCTGGTCCCTTACAGCTGCCTGCGGACCCAGGAGGGGCTGACGCTCAGCAGCCTCGCTGTGTCCTGGAGATGTGGGGCTCGTTGTGGGTGACTCAGGGGACTGAGAGTGAACCCCTGCCACTGTCCGTGGCCTCCTAGAGGCGCACGGGTCCTGGTCGGGGGGCCGTACGCGGGGCACGCACGGCAAACCCCCGAAACCGCGACAGCTCTTAGCACGGAGTGTCCCCTGTCCTCAGAGCCCAGGGTTCAGGTTCAGGGCCTGGGACTGCGAAGCAGCTGCCCACATCCTCATCAGTAACAGACATGTTTACCATCACTCTGGAGTCGCTCTGCTCTGGGGAGCCTCACTGCCTTTCCGCTCGTGGTTCCCCGGGACATTTCTCAGCCGTGAAGAGGATCGTGGGGCCTTCTTCATGCGGTTCTCAGCTTCCAGCCAGCTCCCCATCAGCGTGGCAGCCGGCCCAGGGGGGCCAGCCGAGCTCAGGTCCTCAGCGACCCGCCCCCAGGCCAGCGATCTCCTGGGAGCAACTTACCCTGAAAAACGTATTCAGTATTCCATTTGTCTACAGGAAAACAAGAATCACTTTCGCTTTATTAACTCCAACGACACATGTAAATCCCAGCTAAATCGTCTGTGCTGATAAGCATACTGAAGAGGAAAGTTCTTAGACAAAAGCAGGGTGGACCCTGCACCCCGACTCCCCCCAACCAGAAGGGGTGTCCCCATGGGGAGGGGAGGCCTGGCTGAAAGGACATCACTGCCCAGGGCGGCTTCTGGGGCTCCTCACTTTCTCAGAGAAGGGGGTGGGTTCCCGCCGCCCTCAGGAGGTGGCATCTCCCGGGCTCATCGCACGATGCTTGCTGAGGGCGTGCTGGGTTCTATGTGTGCGTCCAGGTGCTGGGTGGACGCAGGTGGATGCTACCTGGTCCAGGAGGGGAGACACCCGCACAGACCTGCCCTGCGGGGAGTCCTGCTGTAACCCGGGGGCGTGGAATGTCCTAGAGCTCAGAGAGGGGCATTTCGGGCAGTGTCTACAGACAGGTGAAGCGTGAAAGGAGGCCGGGCAGGAGGACAGAGGCCGGTGGTGAGTGTGAGGGCCGCGCGTGTGAGCCACTGAGGGCGAGGCGGGGCGGGCGCAGGGTGGGGGAGGCCCGGCCTGGGCTCTAGACTGGCAGCCGTGTCCAGCTCCTTGAAGAGGGGTTTGTTTTGGGGCCGGGTCCCAGAGTGACTGGGTTGACATGCTGCGGGGAGCAGACTGGAAGGGCCTCCGGGGACCCCTCCCCTCCCAGGAGAGGGGCGCATGGCTCCCTCAGAGTGGGCAGGGCTGCAGCAGACGCACGTCGGTGGGGACACCCAGGGGCCAGTTGACTGCCCCCATCAGGGCCACTAGGCTGACCCTGAGGCCGGTGAGCGGGTCCAGAGGGGGTGATACAGAGGGCGGCTTCCTGCCCGGCCACAGGCCTGCTCCGAAGGCCTGTGTGTGGGTCCGGAGCTGCCTCCTACGTGGGGCGGGCAGGGTGAGCCCCCGCCCCGTCCCCGTGGTGTGAGGACCACGGCCGCCCCTGTGGGAAGCAGGCTGCTTCTGCCTTCGGTGCTTTGTGACCAGGACTCCTGAGACAGCGCTTCCCACAAGCGGCCTGAGGCCCCGCACGTGCCCTGGCCATGGAGGCTGCAGGGCTGACCCCGAGGACTGGCAGGGGCCGTGGGTGGGGGTCAGCACGCGGAGCGGCAGAGGGGCCAGGCTCGGGGCGGGGCAGCCGCTGGCGGTGGCGGCGCGGGCACAGACATCTCCCTCCATGAGCAGAGGGTGCGGAGCGGCTTCTCCTCTACAGGAGCCCACGGGCCGGCCGGCCACCCTCAGCGACCCCCGGAGCTCCCGGCTTGTCAGCCAGCCAGGCGCTGGTGCCGTACGGAGTCAGGAGGGAGGCTCCAGAGTCCTCGCTGTCCCCTCTTCTCTCTGCGTAACGCAGGCTGAGCGATTTAACTTTTCAAAGCCTCAGTTTCTCCATCTGCAGAATGGCCTGCTGCAGCGGCGGCGCTGCCAAGAGGATTCTGTGGCTCTGGAGACCCCAGGACCAGGCTGCCTCAGCCCTGGGGAAGGGTCCGTCCCCAGCACCCACCTGAGCCTCACGGGTGGGTCCCTCAGCACAGTGTCTGGTACCCGGCGGGCGCTGATCAAAGCGAGCGCAGGACTGAGAGAGCAGATGGAGCTGAGCGTCTGTGATTATGGCCCACGAAGCCAGCCCAGCGCCGGGAGGCCCAGGGTCATCCCCGCCTGCAGCTCAGCCCAGGGCGGGGGTGGTCTCGGTCCAGCCCTCTCCTGGGATGCAGGCGGGGCACTGGCTTGAAGGAGCCTTGCAGAGCAGACCCACAGCCTCCCTGTGGGGTGGGAGGGTGGCTGCCCGTCTGTCCCCTGCCCGAGAGCTGGGGCATGGGGGGGCCCTACCCCGGCTACAGCCGTGGCCGCCACGCCCTCGGCACCGTGGAATTGATGCTCAGACCCTGACTGGGCGAGCCGTCTTTGAAAACACTGTAATTAAACCCGAACCGCCAAGGGGCACTGGGAGTTCAGGGGACGGGCTGGAGGAGGTGGGGTGTGTGGCGGTGGGGGTCCGGCCCCTCCCCGGCCAGGGGCGCGGCCCGGCAGGAAGTTGCACAATGTCCTACCCGGGTCCAAGCACACGCGAGTTCAAAGGCGGGGAGCAGTAGGTCGAATGTCAGTCTCCAAGGGATGAATCTAGGCCATTGTTTAGAATAAACATTTGGTCAGAAAGCCCACGGCTGTCCAAGCACTAGAGGACGGCGGGGGCCCCAGTGAGTCAGCGGCGCAGCTCTGGCTGGGACGGGCCAGCGGCCTCACACTGCCCGCGGGAGGGAGGCGTCCCGCCCCCGAGGCAGAGCATCAAACGCCGCTGGGCCTGGGGTCAAAGGCCTGGGAGGCCTCCCCGCGCACAGGGTTCCTTCCCGGCTCCGGCTCCGGCTCCGTCCCGCGGGCGGCTGGAGCCGCTCACAGGAAAGTGTACTGGGCACCCCCATGCAGAATTCTCCCCCAGGGTTCCCCACTCACAGGACCCTTGGGGGCTCTTAGGACAGGGCAGCCCGTGAGAGACGGTGGGTACCGTTCTCCAGGCCGCAGTGTGGACAAAGACGACGTGAAGCTGACTTGAGTCCGGGTGTGAGACCGCTGAGCTTGGGCGTAGGGGGACGGGGTGAGTCCAGACGTCTTCCGGCTCCTACAACTGGATGCTTGACACGGCAGAGCCAACCCGGGGTGGGGGTGGGGGGCAGGCTGGCATCCGGGAAGGTGACGGGCACAGCTCCAACCATGTTGGACTAGAAGCCACTTGGGGCGTGTGACAGGAGGGGCGGGTGAGGACTGTGTGTGTGTGTGGTTCAAAGCTCAGTGAAGAGATGGGGCTGGAGACTCTGAAAACTTATCAGCATTTGAATGAATGATGGCTCTGGTAAGAGGCGGCTTCCCTGTGGCTCAGAGGGTAAAGAATCTGCCTGCACCGCAGGAGACCGGGGTTCGATCCTGGCGTCAGGAAGATCCCCTGGAGGAGGCCATGGCAACACACTCCAGTATTCTTGCCTGGAGAATCCCAAGCACAGAGGAGCCTGGTGGGATACAGTCCATGGGGTCGCAGGAGTTGGACACGACTGAGTGAGTAACACTTCACTCTCTGGAAAGAGGAGGCCAGGAGGGCAGGGATAGGGGAAGCGGGTGGAGTGGGTGGCTCGGGACCGCTGCAAGAGGCACCACAGTTGAGGGTCCAGCAGGGCTGAGAAGGACCCCCAGACAGCCCCTCAGCCCTGCACTCAGGACACGCTGCTCCACCCCTGCCCGTCCCCCCTCCCCGGGCTCCCCTGGCTGGAGTGGCTCTCTCGGTGTCTCTAAGTGTCCTGTCTGGGGCTGGGTGGGTGATTTTAGAAAGTCTGATGGAGAAGAACTCAGGTGATCATGTGTAGTTTGTTGGGTGACGGGGTTCAGGGCGAGGAGGGGTGATGACCAGCATCCCCGGCACAGGGGGACCTGGGATACCCGGGCGAGTAAAGGAGCTCAGATCCCATCCTGTTCCTCACCAGTTCCTATCAGTTCAGTTCAGTTGCTCAGTCGTGTCCAACTCTTTGTGACCCCATGGACTGCAGCACTCCAGGCCTCCCTGTCCATTACCAACTCCCGAAGCTTACTCAAACTCATGGCAATCTAGTCGGTGATGCCATCCAACCATCTCATCCTCAGTCGTCCCCTTCTCCTCCTGCCTTCAATCTTTCTCAGCATCAGGGTCTTTTCCAACGAGTCAGCTCTTCACATCAGGTGGCCAAAGTATTGGAGCTTCAGCTTCAAATACAGTCCTTCCAGTGACTATTTCCCAATGACATATGCTATTTCACTTCCCAGCCTCAGTTTCCCCATCTGTGGAAGGCACCTGCATGCTGAATGAGTGCCGAGTGAGCTCGTGCAGGTGAAACTCTGGGTCCAGGTTGGCCTGGACGCCCCTCTAAGGGCAGGTGGCAGTGTTACAGCAGGATGAAAAGCCTTGAGAGCTCATGGCACTGGGTGTTAAGGGGCACCAGCATTTGTGCAGTGCACACCCTGGAGCATCATCCAGGACCGCTCGCCAGGTGAGCTCCAGATCAGATGAAGACCTGGAGGAGGCATGAGCAGCCCCGGAGCTGCTCAGGGTCTGGGGCGGATGGACCCAAGGGCCTGGCGGTCCAGGCCTTCTCTGAAGGGCTGCATCTTCAGTTCTGATGGGTAAGTGGGGCCCAGAGGAAGGAGGGCACAGAGTGAGCAGGGGCCATGGGGTCCGGGGACAGCGTGCCCGTCCGGCCGGTTCTCCCAATCATCCATCATCTCCCAGGAAGTGCTGTGTCTCCAGAGTCCACGGCTGCTTCCATGACACGGGGTGCTGGGGAATTATCCCCCGAATGGGTGAGCTTCTTATGACCCAACGTGTGAGACACATCCTGAATGTTTTCTGTTTCATTTCTTCCTTGAAAGAGGACCTCAAGGAAGAGATAGAGCAGGAAAGAAAGGACTGGTTTCTGTGTTGTTCCCCCTCCCGGTCCTACGACCTGGTCACCAGCCTCAGAGCCGCCCCGGATGCAGGCACTTCTGACAGTCTCATCACAACCCTAGTGCAACGTTGGTTTGTAGTCAATCGCCATTTAATAAACATGTTCTGGAAATTTTCGTAGAAAAATGATCTAAACACTGAAATTATAAAAGGACAAAGTCTGGTTTCCTCTCTCAGTCTCCCTAACAAGGACCTGCCCTAGGCCAAACGCTCAGGCCAGCCTTAAATTATATCTGGGCTTTTGATATCATCAGCTCAATAATAGTGCCTGTCTTGCCACAATTGGAAAGGTATTGTCCTGCAAAATCCTCATTCTTCAGCCAGGATTTCCTTTTCTTCTTTTGAATTCAGGGTGAATTCTAGCCAAACAAACAGCTGTGAAATCTGGAATGTCCCACTTCTGTTCGGAGATGAGGGTCTCTCTTTGTGAGGCTGGATTAGTGACGCTGGCCGTCTTACTGATTTATTTGCAAATGGGGAGGGAACTGGCACGCAGGCTCCAATTTGCTCTGCCAATCACCCAGGGCTCCTCTCTGCACTTCCTATCGAGACAGACAGATTTTAAACGCTTGAGCAGATTTCAGCATGGGCTGAGTAGCCAGCAACGCGACCCTGAGCCAAGTGGGCAGGGAGGGTGTGCCTGCCCACGCCCCGGCCTCACGGGCTCCAACTGGGCTCAGCTCGCGTCCTGGGCCCAGAACCCGACCACGTGCCGTGGAGGAGCCCACATGACGGAGAACGCAGGTGCAGGGCCTCCGTCCTGAGCCAGGGACCCCTGCCTAGAGAACGCCGAGCCGGCCGTGACGTGCAGCTTACCAAACAGGCGGCGGGAGGCTGGGGAGCAGCTCCCCGAACAGGCCGAGGAGGCAGAGCCCGGCCGCGCTGACCAGCAGACCAGACCCCAGGCCTGAGCGCCTGGTGCCCCTGCTGTTGTGTCTGGCGCGTACCTCTCTGCGTGTCGTCCCATTTGCGAAGATGAAAAATCAAACACGATTATGGATTTGAAAACACTTTACAGAAACTGCTCATTGTACAGGATATGCAAGTTGTAGGCAAATTACTAGGATAAAAGAGGATGGTGTTGTGTTATTGCTGGATAAACGTTTAAGAACAGCAAAACCAAAGACTGACAATGCGCACTTACGTTGCAAGAAAAACCAAATAAAAAAGAACTAAGGGCGAAAACTTGCCCTCTCAGGTATTATAACCCAGTATGAGGTTATTTGAATCAGTGTGGTGAGGCAGGAGTGAAAAAGCATTTTAATGGCGCAGAACGGAGAGTCTAGATTCCTTTCGAACTAGTAAGAAAAACTGCAGATTATTTAATAAACGGTATTGGGACAGTCATTTATCTATTTGGGGGAAAAGTTACATTTCAATTCACAATATTTATAAAAATAATGTTCAGATAAAAAATTGAATGTTATAAAAGATCTTAAAACTAATGAAGGCAAACAACTGAGTATATTTCAGTTTTCAGGAATAGATAAGGCCCTCCCAAGTAAGCAAGACCCAAAGGAGACGAAGAAATGAAAGCCTGATGAATTTGACCACAGATAGTTTGTTGTTTAATTTTCCAACAGGCTTTTATTTTCGTATCACACAGTTGGAGCAACAGACACCAGTCTGGCTTGCTGTGATCAGCAGATACCACGTGACCTGGAGGCTGCGCCTTGAGAGGTCTATGGGTTCTGCTGCCTCGGGTGGAAAAGTCCCTCCTAGACCCAAACCTGAGACACCCAGGTCCCGGGTCGGAGAAGCGAGGACCCAGCGGCCGACAGCCAGCGTCCGCTGCTTGCGAGTGAGGGGGGGCTGTCCAGCAGGCTGGGCTCAGGACTGCAACCCAGAAAGCAAGACTAACCCCTGGATGGCTTTCAGCCGCTGCATTCTGGGAGCGCTCGTCACTCATCAGGAGACCTCAGAAGCACTCCTTCCCACGACTGTGCAGACCCCGTCCCATGGGATCTACTCGATTCTACCCCATGGGAGCACACTGCTGTGTTCCATCAACACCGCCGGCTCCCGGGAGAGTCCCGGGGCATCTCCACATTCAGGGACAATTGCAATATCACGAGTATCGCTCCTCCTCCTTTCCGGCAATGCTCGTGGACCCCAGGGTAACTTTCTCTTTCCCTGTTTCTGTTTCATGTAGGAGAGAGAGCTCCACAGAGGGCAGACCAGGAACGCCCCTTTGTTATGAGCAGAGACACCCAGCTGCATGCCGGGAAGGTGAGGGCAAGCTGGGCTTCAGGCACAGGTGGATCCAGGCAGGAGTGCAGACTCAGCAAAAAGCAAAACCAAGCTGCCCCAGGACACCCAGTTCCAGCTGAATTTCAGATGAAGAAAGTATAGCTTTCTAGCATAAGTGCATTCTGCCTCCTTCACCCAGAAATTCAGCTTCATCTGGGCAATTGCATTTACCAGGCAACTTCAACCCAGGGGCTGAGACAGGCATGGCTCCACCGCTCCTTATCCCGAGGGCTTCTCCGTTTATTGCTTTCTTCTGTAAGCCTCTGCTTCTCCCCCTCTGGGAGGAGAGGCCTTTGTTTTCCGAGGGCCGCAGGGGAAGCTCAGGGGGCAGCGACGCCCACCCCTGAACCTGCCGGGTGGCCGAGCTCTGAGCCCCTGGAGGCGGTTGTAGGGGAGTGGGTTCAGCCTCATTCAAACTCCAACCCTCTCCCATGGGAGAGGGGGTTCTGGTGCCAGGAAACATTGGGTGGGGGGCATGATGCCAGCTGGGCTCCTGACCCACTGTGGGGCCATGGCCTTCCTGGAAACAGGCAAACTCCATTCCACCGAGATCATTACAAGTGTTGCTCTTGCTCTTAAAGGGTTTCTCCTATTTTAGTTCTTTCCCCTCGTGTCCTCAAAGAACCCTTCTGGGTCAACAATAGCACCCTGCTTTTCCGTCTTGTAAATCGGCGCAGGCCTGAGGCACGTGGTCCTGGGGGACAGAGGCTGTGAGGCTGAGCCCTCAGAGATGGAAAGTTGACGCTGGCGATCACAGAGGATGCAGGAGAAGGCTCTGAACGCTGCTGCTCCAAGAGCTGTTGTTAAATTTAAACTTGGCAGAAAATTAGCCACTCTGGAAATTCATATAGCCAATGATAATAATAATAATAATTATATTTATTATAATAATGATAGAAGAAGCGTGTTCTGGGGTCAGAGCCAAGCCACGGGGGAACCACAGAGTCCCGGGTGGTGAGTACCGGGCGCTGCCCTCCTGGGATGCGGGCAGCTCCCCTCATGGGGACGCGGGCCTCACTGGGGGCTGCTCTGTGGGGAGGCCCCGGGGAGCCGGGTGGGCTCGTCCCGAGTCCGCAGCACAGTGGGGGCAGCAGGTGGATGCTGGCAGGAGCCAAGGCAGAGGTGGGACCAGAGCCTCTGGGGGTTCAGAAAAGCGGGCCGTGGGGAGGGGCTGAAGAAGGGCTTAGCTCTGTCCCCGCAGTGGCCTCTCATCGTGACTCACTGGGGAGACAGGGAGGGGAAACCCCAGAATCTCCCAGACTCGGGGCCTCAGTTCACCTGTGTGTGGGTGGGGAGGTTGGGAAAGCCCACCAGTCTCTGCCAGAGGCGGGAGGAGGGGGGCAGGCAGGGGACAGCGGACACACCCCCGTCCCTCCTGGGGCAGTTTTCTGAGCCATGAGGGGCATGAGACAGCTTCCTGCTCATCCTGGATCAAGCCCTGCCCTTGGGGTCCCCACGGCAACATGTCCACCGAAGATCAAACATGAAGGGTAAAATAAAAGTGATCTGAACTCCCCTGCGGTGGCTCAGACGGTAAAGCGTCTGCCTGCAGTGTGGGAGACCTGGGTTCAATCCCTGGGTCGGGAAGATCTCCTGGAGAAGGGAACGGCAACCCACTCCAGTACTCTTGCCTGGAGAACGCCATGGACGGAGGAGCCTGGTGGGCTACAGTCCACGGGGCCGCCAAGAGTGGGACACGACTGAGCGACTTCAGTGTCAATGTCAGTGTGCTCTCATGCGAAGCCCACCCATCGCAGTTCTCAGAAAGCTGTCCGGTCAAGGGGGACAGGGGCCAGAGTCCCGGGGACGGGGCTGCCTCTACCTTCTGCCATCTCCCTGCTTCACCCCCAGATAGTGGCCCATCCTTCTGAACCTTGGTCTCCTCGTCCCCCGTGGAATTAACACCAGCATCACTGGTTGAAGAGTAGAAGCAAAACTCATTTTCCCTGCCCTCTGCACACTCCCCGTGAGTGAGAAGAGAGGGGAGCCCACGGTGACCCGTCCAGCTGGCCCAGGGGGCTCCAAGCCCCCAGCAGGCCGCGGAAACCGTTCATCTCCACGCACAGAGCTTATGATCCTGCAGTATGATGGGAGTCATCTATCATGCTGTTGGTTAATAAATAATACATATATGTATAACTCAGGGATAAATTATTTAGTGCAAAGTATAAATATTGCAGGAGTTTAGGGAAATAAATAGCTGACTTTTTAATAAAAATTTTTTAGTTGTATTGTTAAGGATTAGGTTCAGTCACATGTAGCAGAAAACATATATTTAATATAAGACAGACTTCAACTAGATAATGATTTACTTTTCTTTTCTGTAAAACAAATCTGGAGGTAGGCTGTCCAGAGCTGGTTTCTTTCACCTGCCTTCTCCCATTACGGGGAATCTGGGCCTCTTATGTCTTTCTGCTCCAAATTTCCTCATGGTAGCAAAATGTCTGCTGTGGCTGTGACCATCACATCTGCATTCCATCTAGCTGACTCAGTCACCTTTACAGAGCTTTTCTGGAAGCCCCACCCAACGACTTCTCATATGGCCGTCCTTATAGCAAGAGCTGGGAAGTATACATGTTTCTGCTTCCAAGTTGCAGGAGTTCTGTGACCCAAAGCAGAAGGAAAAGAACTGCTCTTGGCTTTGCAGTCGTGGGTGCCTGGTGTGCGCCCCTGACCGTGCGAGATGCAGAGCCTGTTCCCTCCGTGTTCCCTCTGCTGCGTCCCCCTTCTCTCCACGCCCCCTTCCCCGTCCTTCTGGGCTCTGCCGAGTGTGTGTGACAGGCGGCCGCGTGGTGACCTGCTACCTGGATTGCCGGCTGTCTGCCCAGCGAGCCGCTCCTTCTCCCCGGTGTCCCCGGAGCCGCTGCAAAGCCTGCAAGAGCCAGGGGTCCGCAGGTGTTTCCCGCTCCGAGCAGCTCAGTGAGGCGAAGGGGAGAGGAGGGCTCGCGCGCTCCCGAGCCTCGGGGGATGTGGGTGAGCCATCACTGGACCCGAGGCCCCTTTCGGCTTTGTTTTGCTCTGAACACTGTAATCTAGTCGGCTGCCTTTGCACGGACCCCTAACCCACTGGAGTAAGGACCGCCTTCTCCCTAACAGAGGGCGGTGTTGACCCTGTGGCCCCTTCTCAGATGATTGTAACCGATGGGGATGACGAGGTTCCGTGTCTGCAACGAGATGGAGCAGGGACCTCACAGGTCCCCAGGTGACGGGCACCCTGACCCTGAAGAAGCGGCCCTGGGTGAGCCTGTGGCCAGTCTGGCTGGGACCATGGAAGTGATAGACTTTCTCTTCTTATCTTTTAGAGATCACTACTGGAGAAGGCAATGGCACCCCACTCCAGTACTCTTGCCTGGAGAATCCCGTGGGTGGAGGAGCCTGGTGGGCTACAGTCCACCGGGTCGCTAAGAGTCGGACACGACTGAGCAACTTCACTTTCACTTTTCACTTTCATGCACTGGAGAAGGAAATGGCAACCCACCCCAGCGTTCTTGCCTGGAGAATCCCAGGGATGGGGGAACCTGGTGGGCTGCCGTCTATGGGGACGCACAGAGTCCGACAGGACTGACGTGACTTAGCAGCAGCATTGCATTTATGAGAATGCTAAAGGGCTTCCAGGGAGCTCAGTGGTAAAGAATCCAACTGCCGAGCAGGAGACATGGGTTCGATCCCTGGGTGGGGAAGATCCCCTGGAGGAGGAAATGGCAACCCACTCCAGTATTCTTGCCTGGAGAATCCCATGGACAGAGGAGCCTGGCGGGCTACAGCCCACGGGTGTCACAAACAGGAGGACACAACTGAGTGACTAACACTTTCACTTTCTCACTTTTGATGCATCTGATTGGGCTTCCCTGGCGGCTCAGCTGGTAAAGGATCCGCCTACAATGTGGGAGACTCAGCACGGGGCTGAAAAGAATTGGACACGACTGAGTGACTCACTCCATCTAACTAGGTCTAACCATAAGGAATCACCATCTTTGGCCATTTCTAAACCTACAAGCATGGCATTTTTTCCTGGCTCAATGGGCCTTTGTCCTCACTGTGTGACTGTCTCCGTGAGAGGTGAGCCGCTTTTCCTCCGTGGGACTAACGAGCTGTGGGCTGTCCTACCTGCCGCTTCAGAGTTCCGAATCCAGCCCTCCCTTCTCTAACCGTGAATTACTGGCCTCATTTTGTCTCCCTATCGCTGCAACTTTTCATTTTATTCTGCTGTCTCATTTCATCTGTGAATTCCTTTCTGTCATTCCTGATTCTCTTTACTTTTAGCCAAATTTCACATAATTTATTACTGAAACACTTCTCCTATTACTCGGACTAGGAAGTAGGTTTTAAGAGGAGGTGTAACCTTGGTGCTTTGCGTGTGACTTCCCCCTCTCCGCTTCTTTGTCCTTTTCCGTCACAGCTGCGATGTGGTGAGCGGTCCCCATGATACCCTGCCTCGTCTCCCCCAACCCTCTCCCCCCCACCCCCCAACATCCAGTCCTTGGGAAGTGACCCACCTTCAACATTCAGATCCGGGGACGCACAGTCCTTCCATCTTTCCCGCCACCATCATCTTCTGCCCACGTGGCTGGAAGGGGCTTTCGTATCAGCCTTCCTGCTTCATGCCCTGCCCCCTGGAATGGATTGTCTGCCAAGCAGCTGTCACCTCCTCTCGTTGCCCCGAGCTTCTATTAATGACTCTTTGGGGAAATCCAGAAGGGCACACCCCTTGTGACAACTCTAATTTAAAAATTTAATTTTGAAAAGTATTTATTAGATTGAGTATTCCATCTTTCACTGAGAAATTTCAATTATCCAGACTCGGTGACTACTATTCAACTTGCACATGGAAACTCGATCATTCTGCTTAATTTTGGTGGCGTCAGGCTGTCTTTTTCTAGTATATAATATCACCCTCGTAGTGACAATTATGGAAGTTCAGAACAATGCTCCAGGCCTCTGAAATTTGACGTGACACAAATTTACAACCAACCTTCTAGAATTCCACTTTCCTTCCTCGGCTTTATGCAGATCCTAGATGGTCAGGGTTTATTTCTGTCAGTGACTCTTTAATAGCTTTTCTTTGAAGGACAGAGAAAGAGGCTCTTAATCTCTCTCTGGCGTCACTGAATCCCACCTGGCGGGCCGCTGACCTGAGTGACTGGGGCATGCGGGGAAGGCCGGAGCTTGAGCTGCACTTTAGACGTGAGGGACCTGGGGGCATCCTGTCCCCTGGGTGAGGAGGCAGAGGTGTGTTCTGCGTGTCGTCTAGGAGTACAGGACCCCCACCCCCACCCCCTCTGCGACTCCAGCCTACTATTTGTGAAGCCCTGGCACTGTTAAGAATCTCAGGGCTATAAAAAATAAAAATTAAAAGAGTAGTAAAGAGCCATACTAGGACAGTATGAGGGTAAAAAGAAAAAAGCGGGGGGGGGGGGGAGAGAGAGGGAGGAAAAAAGAGAAGAAGAAGAAATTTTTTTTAATTAAAAAAAAAGAAAATTATATATGAGAATCTAGAGAGATGGTGCTAACTACCCTATGGGCAGGGCAGCAGAGACACAGACGTACAGATCAGACTTCTGGACTCAGTGGGAGGAGAGGGTGGGATGACCGAGAGGCCGCCGAGACGCAGCGGGAACTGGGGAGCTGGGGGAGGCGGGTGCCTGACGCAGGGCACCCAGGGCTGGTGCTCCGCGGCAACCTCAAGGGGTGGGGTGGGGACGGAGGGGTCAGCGGGGCTCTGGATGGAGGGGACACGTGTCTGCCCTCGGCCGGTTCATGCTGATGCGTGGCAAAAACCATCACACTGTTGTGAGGTGTAGCTATCTTTCAGTTGAAATTAAAAAACAGAGATTAAAAACCAGAGAGAGACTCTCAGGGCTCATGAACATTATTTCATCAGGATGGAGACACAGAAGCAGGACTGAAACTGGAGTGAGGTCACTGAGTGCTTGCTCTGCCTCTGATGAGTTGTCGCGAGTGAGTCGACGGGCAAGGACGCTTCGGAGCCTTAAATCAGCCGTGACGACACCCGGCGGACAGGCAGGGCTGGTTTGCTGCAGGCCAAGGACTCCGCTCACCGTGGTGTGGCCTCCATGCTCCCGGTCGCCTTCTTCCTTGTCTTTCTAGCAGGTATTCCTCCTTCTCCAGCCAGGCCTGCGGCCCCGGAACAAACCCAGTCAGGAGTACACACCCTCCTGGGCCCTGCTCACCCGTGTCCTCCAGGAACCTTCCAGAAACGCTGGTGATCACAGGCCGTCCAGCTCCCACCTAGCTGTGTTTCGGGTAACCAAGAGGTGGCCCAGAGTTTCCCTCCCCTTTAATCCAGGGGACACTGTCTTTTTTGAATAAGGTTTCTCTTACAACTGCAGCCATCTTATCAGGAGATGTCAAGGACTTGTCCCAAGAAGACTCCTTATTTGGAGCAAAGCTGTCAGGAAGGGGCTGTATTCACACCGACGTCCGTGGATGTAGCGGTTTCATCCCTGCAGCAACGTGCCGGGCGTGTTTCCACCTGCACACGGGCAGCGCCTTTGCCTGAAGGACAACCTGGCAGCCTCCCGGGGCCCAGCGCCTTGCTGGCCACTGGGAACATGAGGAGGAAAGGGACCTGGTCCTGCCTTCTGGTCCCCGTCCTCCCCCAAAACCCATCAGACCGGCCTGCCAGCCCCCAGGGCCTTCACCTCTGCTCCCAGGATTCCTGCACCCTCCCAGCACCTGCTCCACCAGGGCAGTCAGCATGTTGATATATTTTTCTGATGTGAGAGTTTATTAACATGAAAAGTCTTTCAAAGATTCACAAATGGTGCATCTGATTTCTGCCCTTGAGGACTTCCTTTGTCGACAACTCTCACACCAGAAACAGAAGTTCTTGGTGAGGCCCTGGGCTCAGGCTTTAATGAGCCAACCTTGGCACCCTGTCCCCTCCGGGAGGCTGGCACTTGCTCTCCTGCTTCCCCGTCAGTCTCTGGACTTTGACAGACGCCTGCCTTATGTTCTCAAGTCATCCTGAACTCTTAAAGCTGGGCATGTGATGCTGTACGCCTCACTTCATCCCCCCGCACCGATCATGAGGGAATGAATGAACGGGTGAGGAGGCAGTGCCCGGAGCCCAGGTTCTTGAACACCTTTCTCTGGGTCAGAGTTCAGGGATCAGAGTTACTGATGCTCAGGGCTCCCCTCTCCCACGTGTCTGTCGCTCACTGATGTAAAGAGCGCTGGCTTTGGGGTCACACAGGCCCGGGTCTAAGTTCCAGCTCTGACCCTTGTGAGCTGTGGCATCAAGTCAACGACTTCTCTGCAGCCTGCGTTCCACCATCCCTCTCCCCCTTCCTGGGTGCTCACCCCAAAGTCAGGACTGACCCATGACGCTTTGGAGAAGCGCCCTAACCACATCCGGGAAACAGCCTGCCGTCCTGCACTCCGCCCTCTCTGCCCCAGGGGACGGAAGGGAAGTGTGGGCTCTTCTCGAGCTGCAGGGCAGCTGCTGGGCACTCTGGTTTAATCTCTTCTTGGAGCTGGGCCATGAAACGCGTCCAGGACAAAGGTGCAGTGGGCTTACCTGGGAAGAACAGAAACACCTGCTGAACTTCAGCAGGTGCTCCCAAGGCTGCCTGCCGGGACAAGACCCTGTGCTCCAGGCCGTCTGCCAGCCAGCTATACTGTGTTTCTAAATGAAAAAGTGAGTCAAATTAAGGAAAATAAAAGATAATGATGCCACATGTGTTAAGAAAATATGGCTGAAATTATGGGAAATATGAAAGTCTGAGGATTATAAAGTATGAATATAACATGTTCCCTAGTTCTTCTCACAGCTGTTGTTGTTCAGTAACTAAGCTGTCTCTGACGCTTTGTGACCCCAAAGGCAGCACACCAGGCCTCCCTGTCCTTCACCATCTCCCGGAGCTCACTCAAACTCATGTCCATTGAGTCGGTGATGCCGTCCAACCATCTCATCCTCTGTCGTCCCCTTCTCCTCCTGCCTTCAGTCTTTCCCTGCTTCAGGGTCTTTTCCAATGATTCGGCTGTTCGCATCAGGTGGCCAGAGTATTGAAGCTTCAGCATCAGTCCTTCCAATGAATATTCAGGCCTGATTTCCTTTAGGACTCACTGGTTTAATCTCCTCGCAGTCCAAGGGACTCTCAAGAGTCTTCTCTAGCACAACTCAAAAGCATCAATTCTTTGGTGCACAGCATCCTTTATGGTCCAACTCTCACACACGTACGTGACTACAAGAAAAACCACAGCTTTGAGTATACAGACTTTTGTCAGCAAAGTGATGTCTCTGCTGTCTAGGTTTCTCATAGCTTTCCTTTCAAGGAGCGTCTTTTAATTGCATGGCTGCAGTCACTTTTTTTTTTTAAGTTTCTGTTTCATTCATTTATCTTATAACCTCAATACAACCGATATAAATTGACTTATCTTCTTTGCTGTCACTGTTTTTGGTGCTTGAAAAAGTCACATATTTTATAATATACTAGTGAGTATATTTATGGTTTCAGAATAATTTACATATTTGAAATGGCACGCAAGGTGGGTTTTGTGTGTACATGCGTGTGCATGAGTGTGTGGGGGGGTGCAGGAGAAAGGCCATGAGGGACCCTTTTTTCTCCTCTCTGCCCCCTGCCCCTCTGCCCCCAACTTCCTGCCTTTTGTTCATTTAATCTGGGGGTTCTGTTCCCAGTAGCTTTTCTTGTCCCTTTTATATTTTGCAGGTAACTTGGTAGATAGTTTTGTTCTTTTCTAAACTGGTCTCAACGGCCTTGGTCAGTGCTTCCATGGATGACCCTCCCTCTCTTAAGCTAATTTTTCCTTCTTATCTCATGGCTAAAACACATTTTCAAGTGAAATTTTCCAGGAAGGTGTATGCTGTGTAAGTTCTTGTGAATTTGACACGGCTCCTGTGGCTTTTACCTAAATCATCTTTTTCGAACAAAGGACAAGAATGTGATTTAAGCACGCAACCCCACCTTTACACAGGAATCCAAGCTTGACTGACTTCTCGGTGTGAGGACCAGCTTTCGTCTTCCTTCTAAATGTTTTTTAAAATACGTGGCTTCCTTACATGCTGGCACAGAGGGCTGCACTGTAGAAATCTAAGGTAATCCTTTTTTAAGAGATTATTTATTTATTTGACTTTGGCTGTGGCGGGTCTTCCTTGCTGCCCAAGGTCTTTCTCCAGCTGCGGGGCATGAGGGGGCGGGGCATGAGGGGGCGGGGCATGAAGGGGCGGGGCATGAGGGGGTGGGGCATGAGGGGCGGAGCATGAGGGGGCGGAGCATGAGGGGGCGGGGCATGAGGGGGCGGGGCACGAGAGGGTGGGGCACGGGGGCTCCGGCTCCCTACTCCGGGACTCCTCCTGCTGCAGCGTGGAGGTTCCAGAGCGCATGCTCACTAGTCATGCTGCACTGACTTAGCTGTTCCTTGGCTCGTGGGATCTTCCTGGACCAGGAATCAAACCGTGGTCCCTTGCATTGCAAAGCAGATTCTTAGCCACTGGACCACCAGGGAAGTCCTGAGATGATCTTAGTCTGTGTTTCTGTACACGTGATTTTTTTACTCCTTCCTTCTGAGTGTTTGCAGTGTTTTGACTATCACTGCAATTTGGGAATACTTCTAAGGGTAAGTAAGATATACTGTGTTGCTCTTCACAGATCCTTATTTATAGCTCCAAAGGTCAATATCCATGGAGACAAAATCCGACACTTAATATTTCAGTAGGCCTAAGACATAACATTTCAACGCACTGACTTCTTAAGAAAGACACGCTAAGCAAAAAAAACCCTGGGCCGAGGCAGCTGTCTGTGGGCTGTCCATCCAGGAGGAGGGCATGGGGCACAGAGCCTGGAGCGGGGGCCTGGCTGTCTGGGTCCCCACCCCCGGAGGGCTGGGGGAGGTGGATCCCGAGCCCCATTCAGGCTGTAGCACTCTAGCTTCTGTGGTTCTAGGCTGTGAGTTCCTGGTTTTACCCATGAAAGGAAATAGGTGGTGCCTTCAGCTATAAGGACAGAAACTCTGACTCAAACTGGCTTTAAAAGAAAAAAGGAAATGCATGACCTCACACATCAGGAAACGGGAAGTACCGGGTGGGTGGGGGTGTGGGTGCCGTGAATCAGCGGCTCATCTTGGTCATCGGTCATCGTGGCTCTCCATCCCGAGGCTGGTTTTCCCTGCTGCAAGACGGGCAAGTCGCCGGGCTGGGCTGCGTCCTCCATGCCCGCCCCAGGGAGAGGGCCCCACCCAGCCCGGGACTGGGATCCTGCTCCCGGCTCTGATGGGCTGTCCTCCCCGCAGGACCTAAAGTGCTCCCAGAGGGGCACCGGCCACGTGCCCGGAGGCTCGTCGCTGTACTGAGCCTCAGACCCTGGGGAGGGGCCCCGACACACCAAGGCTGCGGACCCTGGGTCAGGCTGGTGCACCCCCTGCCGCAGAAGGATGCGCTCACGTAGGGAGGGGACCCCAGTTGGAACAAGATCTCGATTCTGCGTCTACAAACACAGACAGACGCACAGAGAGCAGGCTTGTGGTTGCCGGGGGCCGGGGTGGGGAGGGTGGCTGGGGGTTGGGGATTAGCGGAGGCAAACTGGTACATATAGGACGGGTGGGTAACGAGATCCTACAGTAGAGCACCAGGAACTATGTTCATAATAGCCTGTGATAAACCAGGATGGAACGGTACGCAAAACAATTTATACGTGTGTGTGTGTGTGTGTGTGTGTGTGTGTGTGAGTTACTTTGCGTACAGCACAAATTAACACAACATTGCAAACCAAAAAAAAAAAAAGTAAACCAACTATACTTCAATAAAATTTTAAAACCTCGTGGTTCTGCCAGCAGGGAGACAGGGTCCCAGTGGGTGGAGTTGGGACCCTCCATGTTCTAACTGGTGGAGACGCGGAAAGGCCCAGCGGAGGTGAAGAATCGGCTCCATGAACAGAGCCGGTGTCTCGTAGCCCCAGAGGATGGGGCGCTTTGGTGGGCTCGGGGCCCCCTACCTCTCCCTCTCTCTGGGCCGGGAGGCTGCTTATATAAGCGTGAGTTCTGCAGAGCTGCGTCCAGGGGGACATGCCCCGCCACCCGCCCTGTGCCTCGACCGCAGACCGGGGGACACTCAGCCTCAGGAGGGGGCAGGGCGGGCGCAGGCCGGAGGTGGGGTCTGTGCAGACTCCGCCCCGGGGGCAGCGCCGCGCAGCCGGGCGATGTCACAGCCCCGCAGACCTGGCCTCCCTGCACCGGCTCCTGTCCATCACCCAGACAGAGCGTCTCTGTGGGTGGGGGCCTCTCCTGGGGACGTCGGTGTCCAGGGAGCGGCTCCTCCCCGGGGGAGCGGCCGCCTCCCGAGGAGCCCCGCCGTCCTTCCCCTGGACCCCGCTTTTTCCCCACCCCGCCCTCCCACTCAGGCTCCCGCCCTCTCACGCCCTTCCCGTGACTCGGCCTCTGCGTGGTGGGCCCTGGAACGTCAGACATCAAGCCTCGGAACAGCTCCGCTGGGGCAGGTGGTGACTGTCCCCGAGGACGTCCTTGTCCAGCAGGGCAGGGCTGTGTGGCCAGGCCCCTCCAGATTGCTCACCGCCTGTGACCCTCCCGTGGACGCACCGGAACCTCCAGTTAAGCAGCTGTCTCTGGAAATGGATGGTCTGGGTTCAGATCTCACCCTTCCTCCCTCCTGGGCAGACTGGCCACGTGACCATGGCGAGCCTTGTCGTGGCCCTAAGTCTCAGTTTTATCACCTAGAAAAGCGGACGTGGTCGTCACCCTGTGTGGCGTGGTACAGGAGGGGTACATTATAGAGGGACCCCGAAGTGCTTGGGAGTCCCGTGTACAGTGTGAGCATGGCCTCGCCTTCAGCCCTGGCAGCAGGACAGAGTTACTGGGACCCACATCAGGGCAGAGCTACTGGGACCCACATCAGGGCAGAGTTACTGGGACCCATATAGGGATCCCAGAGCCACAGCGTGAGCACCGCAGCTCCTGGGAGCCCAGCGCCCGGCCTGGTGGGAAATTAATGCTGTCTCTAAAACCGTACAAAAACGAAAGAGAAAGAAAGAAAGAAAGAAAAAAAAACAGAAAGAAAAGAAGGAAGGAGAAGAAAGAGAAAGCAAAAGACAGAGAGACAAAGAGAAAGAATGAATGAAACAAAAGGAAAGAGAAAGAAAGAAAAAGAAAGAGGTGGAAGAAAAGAAAGAAGATAACAGAAGAGAAAGAAACAAAGAGAAAGAATGAAATGAAAGGAAGAGAAAGAAGAAAGCGAAAGAGAAAGAGAAAGAATGAAATGAAAAAGAGAAAGGAAAAGAAGAAAGAGAAAGAGGTAAAGAGAAGAAGAAAGCGAAAGGAAGAGGCAAAAAGAAAGAGAACACACAAGAAAGGATGGGGAAGAAGAAAGCAGGCCACGGAGGGCGGGGAAGGCCCTGCGGCGGGAGCGGCTCCTCTGCGGGCGTGGCTGCGGAGGCAGTGAGCAGCCCTCCTGAGACGGCCTGGCGGCAGGTGCCCACCGGGTCTGACCGAGTGAGCATGCTCCTGCCGTCCATTCAGGGCGCAGACATTTTACAGGACTTGATGCGTGGTGTGAGGCTGGTGAAGGCTGCGAAGACGTTATTTAAACTGTCTCATTAGTTTTGTTTATCAAAGTGAAAGTTGCTTTGTCCATAAATACTCTGATAATTGAAATCAGCTGGGAATTTCTGAGTGCTGTTATACGAATAAAAATACCCTGTGGTGTATATTCAAAACTCTTTCCCAACACAAAAGGAATCCTTTGCCAAGTGTGTTTTTCACAGTCCACATCCCTCCTGCCCCTAAAAAGGCCACTAAAAACAAAGCAAAACAAAAACCCTTGGCACTGCCTACTTGTTTAAGAGTCATAATCCTGACAATTTTGGGTAGATAAACAGAGCAGATAGAGCCTGGGGTGTCAGGGTAAATCCTTTCATATTACAAAGGACAAGAGCAATTTAAAAACTCATATTAAGGTAATGTTACGTTAAAAAACAACAACAAAAAACCCCTCTTTTTATTGCTCCCCTCCATCTGTACAATAAATGCAATCTAGTGAAAAAAACAATAGAGAAGTGGGAACAGATTGGAAAATAAAAATTTCCATAACCACTGTTTCTGCCCACATTCCATTCGAAAAACCACGATCAGAGACTGCAGACACCCTTCCTGTTTTGTTTTCCTGGGTCTGAACCGAAGCAAAGACCTTGCATGAATGAATTCTCATGAAACTGGATCCTGTTATACATACAAGTCTGTTACTGTCTTTTACTAACCAACTCGTCTGGGACGTCTCTCCATGACGAGAGACCGTGGATCTCCTTTACTCTTAACAGCTGACCCGTGCAGATTTGTGAACCAAGCGCCTGCTGGTTCACATCTGAGTTTCCCCCAACTTTTGCTATTATAATATGTGTTAGTCGCTCAGTCAGGTCCAGCTCTTTGCAACCCCACACACTGTAGCCCACCAGGCTCCTCAGTCCATGAGATTCTCTAGTCAAAAATACTGAAGTGGGTTGTTATTCCCTTCTCCAGGGGATCTTCCTGACCCAGGAATCGAACTCGAGTCTCCTGTATTGCAGGGAGAGTCTTTACCGTCTGAGCCATAAGAACCTTGCCTTTTGTTATATCCGTGTACATAAATCTTTGTGAATTTAGCTGAATATTTTGGGGTACATATTCCTAGGAGTCTGCGTGTCTTTTCCAAGCCCCCTTGGAGGATGGGAGGGATGGGCAGGGCCACTTGGGGCTTCATAGGCAGCAAAGTGCTCAGTCAAGGGAGCAGCCTGTGAAGCTGGGTGCCCTGGGGACCCGCGAGGCTGGAGGAGGCTCAGTGCCAAAGAGGAGAGGGAGAATCAACCCTGGCTTCCCTGGTGGTGCAGAGGTAAAAACCCACCTGCCAATGCAGGAGATGCAGGAGATGCAGGTTCAATCCTTGGGTCGGGAAAGTCCCCGGAGGAGGAAATGGCAACCCATTCCAGTATGCTTGCCTGGAGAATCCCATGGACAGAGGAGGCTGGTGGGCTACAGTCCAGGGGGTCCCAAAGAGGGGGACATGGCTGTGACTGAATGCAGATGCACAAGCATGTGAAACACGAATCCGCTCTGCGAGAAGATTCTGTGAATTCCGACACCCAGACGGCCTTCCCTCCTGGTTTTAGCCATTTCTCAATGCCTGCTACTTGACTGTCTGGATTAGAAACTCAGGGACAGGATTCCCCAGGTGGCAGGTCGGCTCTGCCACCCTCAGATCCAAACGGTCCCCCGAGAACACGGGTCAGGGCTCTGCTCTCTGTGTATCAGGTGAGTTTACATCGTGGGTTGACTGAGATCCTCCTAGAGGTGGACTTCTGTGGCCAGCTCATGTTGGTATTTCCTTATCAAAACCACAATGAGGTACCATCTCTCGCCAGTCAGAATGGCTGCTATCTACAAGTCTACACGCAATAAATGCTGGAGAGGGTGTGGAGAAAAGGGAACCCTCTTACACTGTTGGTGGGAATGCAAACTAGTACAGCTGCTATGGAGAACAGTGTGGAGATTCCTTAAAAAACTGGAAATCGGACTGCCACATAACCCAGCAATCCCACTGCTGGGCATACACACTGAGGAAACCAGAATTGAAAGAGACATGTGCACCCCAATGTTCATCGCAGCACTGTTTATAAAGCCAGGACATGGAAGCAACCTAGATGCCCATCAGCAGACAAATGGATAAGAAAACTGTGATACATATACACAAGGGAATATTCCTCAGCCATTAAAAAGAATGCATTTGAATCAGTTCTAATGAGGTGGATGAAACTGGAGCCTATTTATTAAACAGAGTGAAGTAAGCCAGAAAGAAAAACACCAATACAGTTTACTAATGCCTATATATGGAATTTAGAAAGATGGTAATGATAACCTTATATGCGAGACAGCAAAAGAGACACAGGTGTAAAGAACAGACTTTTGGACTCTGTGGGAGAAGGTGAGGGTGGGATGATTTGGGAGGATGGCATTGAAACATGTATGTTATCATATATGAAATGAATCGTCACTCGAGGTTCGATGCATGACCCTGGGGATGGGATGGGGAGGGAGAGGGGAGGGGGTTCAGAATGGGGAACACACGTACACCCGTGGCTGATTCATGTCAATGTATGGCAAAACCAATACAATATTGTAAAGCAATTAACCTTCAATTAAAATAAATTAATTTATATTTAAAAAAAGATTTTTTTGATGTGGGTCATTTTTAAGTCTTTATTGAACTTGTTACAATATTGCATAGGTGTTTTGGGCGTTTTGGCCTCGAGGCTGTTACAATATTGCATAGGTGTTTTGGGCGTTTTGGCCTCGAGGCACATGAGATGTTAACGCTGCAATCAGGGATGGAACCCGTACCCCCTGTATTGAAAGGTGAAATCTTAACTGCTGGACTGCTAAGGAAGTCCCTTGTGTGGCCATTTCTCTTTGCCATGATCTTCCTTGGCTTTCTTTAGATTTAATTTTTTGCCTTTTTATTGAAATGATCAAGTCTCCCGTGCTCCCCCGCCTCCTCTGGCCGCTAGAGCTTACCTGTCCTCCACCTGCCCCTCCAGTGCTGCTCCAAACATCTCCGTGGTCCACTCCACTTAACAAGACCTGGGGTAACTGGTACCCGTGTTCTGATCTGAAGAACTCAGGGACGCGGGGACATCTGGGCTTCCATCTCCCTGGCCTGGCCTCCCTGGTGTTGGTCTAGTTTTCTTTTTATTGTTACTAGCCGCCCAGTAGTCATTAATATCCTTGTTCCTGTTTTTATGATGATGGATTTTTACTGTGTTTATTTAAATTTTCCATTATTTTGTATACACTTCATGGCTCCCATTTCCTACCAAATCCCATTTTCCCTCCAGTTCTAATTCTCTTCTTACTGAAGTCCTTCCGCAGTCATTTAATGGGGGCCTGCAGGTGGGTCTCTTTTGGTCTTTGTCTGAAAATGTCTTCTCTCCCTCTGGTGAATAACAATTTAACTCAGTGCAGTTTCATAAGAAATCTGGTGTCAGCCCAATTGCAATTAAATTACTGTTTCTTGGTGGTAGTATTAATATGTCTTTTCTCTCTGGTTGTTTTAAAGTTTTTCTCTTTGACGTTATTCAGTTTTGCCTTTATATATTGTGAAAGAATAAAAACATATGTACAGGAACTGATGTGCTGGAGAAGACTCTTGAGAGTCCAAAGGACTCTGTGAGGAGATCCAACCAGTCCATCCTAAAGGAAATCAGCCCTGAATATTCATTGGAAGGACTGAGGCTGAAGCTGAAACTCCAGTCCTTTGGCCACTTGATGCAAAGAACTGACTCATTGGAAAAGACCCTGATGCTGGGAAAGATGGAAGGCAGGAGGAGAAGGGGACGACAGAGGATGAGATGGTTGGGTGATCACCGACTCAATGGACATGAGTTTGGGCAAACTCTAGGAGATACTGAGGGACGGGGAAGCCTGGCGTGCTGCAGTCCGTGGGGTTGCAAAGAATCAGACACGGCTGAGTGACCGAACAATGACTAGATAGGCACACCTTGAAGGTGCTAGGGGGCTCCATTCCAGACCCCCAGACTAAAGTGAATACCGGGGAAAGGGAGCCACACTGGTGTTCTGGATCCCCAGGTGACGGTTGTGTTTACACGACACTGCAGCAGCCTCTGCCGGTTCCCCTGGAACGGAACTCTTCTGTGTTCTCCACCTTGCAGAAAATTCTGGTGGGTCCGGAGCCTCTCATCAGCCCGGCTCAGCTTCTCAGCTCTGGTTCTGCAGACCCTACTGGTCCCGATGGCTCAAGAAAGACCAGGGGAAGGAAGGGAGAGGACTGATACATAATCTTTCAGGAAAATAAGAAGGAAAGGAAGGGAGGGAAAGCAGGAGAGAAACGTGTGCGTTCTGTGTTCTCGCCCAGGGTTCACTGGGTCACGCTCTGAAGCTAAGCAGACGTGTAAGGAAGGCTTCCCAGGGACTTTCTTTCCCGAGGCCGTGAGTGGGATGGAGCCGCTCTGTCGTCATACGTGCAGGTGACACCCGGGCGTCCTTGTCTGTGTGTGCACGGGGCCCCTCTGTCTGCACACGGCTGTCATTACTGAGGGTAAGTCTGAGGCTGGCCGACTGTTGTCTCTGTCGGTACTCTGCCTCTGATGCTCAGGTGTCTGATTTACGACGATCTTCCCTGTCCGCGTGTCTCCTCTCACCTGTCTCGTGAACACCCAGTGTGTTCTCCACCCGCCTCTCTCTTCCTTCCTCCCCTCCCTCTCTTGTTCTGATGAGGACATTTTATAGCTTCCTTGCTGGATTTTCCCCACTTATCATTCATCTCTGAATGGGGAAGTTCTAGTCTAGCCTGTTTTCTCCCCAGGAATGTTGTTGCTGATTCTCCATCATTAGCTTCTGTCTACCTGGAGCAGATCTGAGTTACTTCCATAATCATGGCCGGAGGACTGCTGTTAAGAATTTGTAAGCAGTGTCTGACGTCAGCTCTTCTGGGAGATGTGCTGTGGGGAGCTGAGTTATGGTGATCGAGGGGCTTCTGGGTCCTCTGTCACCAGGGGTGTGTGCTTGGGATGGTATATATTCGGGGGTGTACACCGAGAGCTTTCTGTGGGGTTGAATCTCCCTCGCTGGAGAAGGTCTCGGTTCTCTGAGGCCCCACGGCTCACGGTTCTTTGGTGAGTTTGTCATATTTGGCATTTCTGCTGAGTTCGCTGTGAGCGCCTGCGAGTGGACGAGCAGATCATCGCTTCAGCGTCTCTCAAGGCTCTGGGCAGTAGCCTCACCACGTGGTGACCTGGTCTCGGAAGGCTGATCACTCCAAAGAAGCTGGGAGATACACAAGCAATCTCAGTCACGGGTGAGTCAGTAAATGGACCCGGATGAAGTCCCCATCTTATGTCAAGGTCTTGTATTTGGAATAGTTCAGCTTTAGTTCCTTTATAAGGGTAAGAATGATGAGAATGTGAATGAATCTTATCAAGATGATTTCAGATTAGTGTCAGGCGTGCATACTCAGTCGTGTCCGACTCTTTGCAACTCTGTGGACTATAGCCCACCGGGCTCCTCTGTCCCTGGGATTCTCCAGACAAGAATACTGGAGTGGGTTGGCTTTCCTCCTCCAGAGGATCTTCCCAACCCAGGGATCGAACCCATGTCTCTTGCATCTCCTGTGTTGGCAGGCGGGTTCTTTACCACTGCGCCACCTGGGAAGTGACAGTGTGGCATTTTACAGTTGACCTGTGGCCTCGGCCATGTTGACAGTAAACTTGATGTAAGAGAATGTAGATGCTCTGATCTGACGGTTTATTTGGACAAGAACCCGGCTTGGTGCACACGGCAGTTTCCACAGCACCTCGTGACGCTGCAAACCCGAGAAAGTCTGTTTCGGGTCTTCAGGTCTGTTCCTGGTGTACAGACATATACTCTGCTGCAGACGGAGGTCCCGGAGCGTAAGCTGGAAGGTGGAGGAGGCATCGAGACAGTGGGAAGTGAGTTCGTCCCCGGAGGGGACAGGCCAATTAACAGGCACGTGGAGAGGTGGGTGGCAATAAGGAGAGCCCAGAGTTGCCTTGGCGCGCTTTCTCTCCACTGAGCAACAGGTTCAGAGTCCATTCAAACTGAACGAAAGTATCACCTTCCAAATCACAAGGAGTGGTTTTGTTCTTAAAAGCTTCCTGTTCACTGTTGACCCAGGAAATGGGGTGGGTGCTTAGCGCTCACTGAAGGTCAGCTCTGCAAATGTGTCTGCACCTGGGGCCTGGGGCTCCCAGTGCCCGGGACTGACCTTTCCTGACCTCTGACCCCTGTGGTCAGCAGCCAGGGCCCCATGAGTGCACAGCCTGGGGGCTTGCAGGGGAGGGCTCTGCCTGCCCGTCGGGGCCTCGGTGGGCTGTGCTGGGTCTTGAGGGTCCCTGACAGGCCGCGTGGCCTGGTGAGCCCCGACATTTATCTGCTCACTGCTAGGCAGCTCAGAACGCAGTCTCCTGTCCTTCCGAGTGAAACCCCCAGCGGTGGTGGTGGGCTTCACAGACGCCATGCTGGATGAGCGATGCGACCCTCCCTGAGCCCCCGATGCCCCCAGTCCCCATTGGTTCTGCCGTGTCCTGGCGTCTGTCCACTCACCGAGACAGAAGCCTGCCTCCCATGTAATCATGAAACCTAAGCTCATGCCACTGGAAAGGAGGCGATTTCAATGAGAGCCCAGCAACCCAGAGCCACAGGCCAGCAACAAGGCAGGCATCCACTGCTCCGCTTGGATTGAAGGCTCTCGCTATTCTCTGCCTTTGTGAGAGCTCACGTGTGTGCATTCACACTGACATACACACACATCCCCACAGCTACACCCAGCCATGTACACATGCATACTTGAATACACACACTCACATACCCACATATGCATACACACACCCACATTCCTATTTGCACACTTGAGTATACTCACTCACATTTCACATATGCTCGCAAATAAACATATGCAAATACATGCTCTCACACATATACCCGCACACATACACATAAGCACACACTCACATGTACACACACTTGAATATGCACATACACGTACACAGACTTGAGTACACATACACACATGCACACACTTGAGCATACACGTGCACACACATTTACACACTTGAGTATGCACACACATGCACACATATGTACACGCACTTGCGCATACACAGTTGAGTGTGCACACATATACACATGCACACATGTATACACACTTGAGTACACACGTGCACACCCTCACGCACAACCACATTTGTCATTTCCTAGACCAATAAATGCAATGTTTCCTGCTCTTGGCCATGAGTGGCATGAAGCTGACTGGAGGGGCCATCCTTTTTTGCGTCACTGCGCAGGCCACGTGGCACCAGGAGGCAGGGACAGGCTTGACCAGGCCCCGGTGTTCTCTGGTCCCTGGCTGGGGGCAGAGGCTGGCAGAGTCGTGCCCACCTCCCTCTGCCTTCACCCGTCCTTCTCAAATTCAGACTGACCCAGAGGCAGGGGTTGGGAGGCAGGGCTGGTCAATCACACATGTTTACATATTAACCAGCCCTGGCCGCTGCCTGAAGGACACGGCTTCTGCTGTCAGAAGGCAGAGGCTTCCCGGGAGATGAGATCTGAGGAATGTGTGGTGACTCTGAGGGCTGTCCCCTCCCCGCCTCCCAGAGATGGGAGGAGGCTCCATCTCTGACACAGTAACACTTCAGATGAAGGGGAGGGGGTCCCCTTGCTTCTAGGAGTCCTGGCCAGCCACCGCTTTCCTCCCTGCTCCCCATGGGGAAGTGAGGAAGGAGCCAGGCCAGGGAAGCGAGGACTACACTGCAGTCATGGAGAAAGCCCCAGAGCGGGGTGGGACGCCTACAGGCACAGCCTGAGGTCAGGGAAGACGCAGGGAGCAGTCTCCTTGGGAAGCTGACCTCCAGTTTAGGAGGTGAGATGTAAAGCGTGGAAAAAGCAGAGAGTAGAGATCAACCTCTCAGAATCATTATCAGAGCATGGGTCCTGTGGGCCGTCCAGGAGTGACCGATGGCTGATGCGTCCACGTGTTAGTCACTCAGTCGGGTCCGACTCTTTGTGACCCCATGGACTGTAGCCCGCTAGGCTCCTCTGTCCACAGGATTCTCTAGGCAAGAACACTGGAGTGGGTTGCCATGCCTTCCTCCAGAGGATCTTCCCGACCCAGGGATCGAAGCCGGGTCTCCAACATGGCAGGCAGACTCCTCACTGTCTGAGCCCCCAGGGGAGCCCCTGGTAAAGGCGGTGGGCGCCTGGCCTGTGAAGTCCACACAGTAGGCCCCCACCCCCCTCAGGCAGCCCTGGGGCCGGGCTTCAGGGGCAGACACGGAAGGCCAGAGAGGCGAGGGGCCTGGAGGCGTCCAGACAGATGGGGCCGAACCATGGGGCCCGTGTGGCCTGCTTGCAGTGACGGAGGACACCCAGCAGCCCTGGACGTTCACTCCGCTTCCCTTGTCTCTGATAAGTGTCTGAGAGCAGGCTGCCGGGCCTGGGATGAGACTAAGTGTCAGAGGCTGCAGGGGGACCCCATCCCACTGGGGCCAAGGCTTGTTTCTTCTTTGCAAGGTTCTCAGATGACGGTTTGCCAGGTGTTTCCACTCTTTAGGGGGTGGGTGGGTGGGGTTAATTTCCAGCAGAAACCCCTGGACATCCAAGATGCGTCTTCAGGACCCACAGATAGGGGTGAGTGTCTTGCTGACTATAGTGTTACAGCATCAGCCTGGGTGGTCCCCATGGGGCAGCAGACATCGGTTTGGGTCTGCAGCAAGGGGTGAGCTTCAGTGCACACGTCTCGAGTGTAGGACGGTCGTCATCTGCCCTGAAAACAGGTCTTTTCTCAGGAAGAACTGTGCTGGCTGGTGCCTGGGCTCAGGCTGGTGGAAAAAGCAAGCAGCGCAGGACGCTGGAGCGGCCGGTTCGTCGGGCCCTGCCCCGTGGCCCTGGCTCCTGGCCGCTCTGCGTCCCGCTTCCGCTGATGTTCGGCACAGGTCACCAGCCCCTTCTCCCTTCAGGAGGTGTCACCTTGGCCTCTGTCGTCAACCACGGATACCAAAACCGTAACAGAGACTGGGGACCTCCTTGGTATTTCCCACTGAGTCAGGCAGCGCGGGCCAACACCATCAAGGGGAGCAAGTGTGGACTCAGGTCATTGCATTTGGGGCAGAACCGTTGGGTGGTGTTTCCTTGGGGAGCAGGGCCGCCATGGGAAGCTGCTGCCCAGAGATGGAGACGGAGTGAGGGCTGACGGCCAGTGGGCCGGGTCCCTGCAGGGCTGACGTCTGCCCGCGATGGGGACATGCCCCTGCCTGGAGGGCACCGGGAGGCACCGGGCACTGAGGAAACATTCCCGGGAGAGTCGGCTGAGGCGGGAAACCCACACTCCCGCCGCAGTGGACCTCGACCTCCTGGCCAAACAAGAAACAAGAGTGTCTTGTCCTCAAGCCCCGAGAAGTGGCTGGGAGAACACAACACGATTGTGTTTGGAGGAAGACAAATGCTTGCTGGTTTTATTGGAGAGGAAAAAACAGGGCCCCTAGGGTTTGGTCATCACTGGTGAAACTGCACCCCCAAATCCATCCCGACCCGGGGCAGCTCCCTTGACAAATGCCCTTGGGACACTGATCCTGTCATCAGTCAAAGTACTTTGAGATTGATCAGTGGTTTTTAAATCAAACCCATATTCCCCTCTATCTAGCACAATGAAAATAGATAGCAACTTTCTTTGTCCCAAACAACCTCTTGACAGATTTTGACCCAATTTGTTTTGATGAGAATGGTCATCGTGTGTCTTCCATCTGTGCATCACCGGTCATCTGGGAACCCAAGAGGCTGGGGAATCAGTGGGTGTAACTCAGGTGCTGACCACACGGTGCGTGGGAGGCAGGTGTCCTTCCCCTGCAAACTCTGCTGACGCTTTCCCTCGGACCTCACCGCTGGGCAGTTACCATCCATGCTGACTCGCTGCGCCTGGACAAGACTAAGGCGGCCACGTGTCCTCGGGGCTCCCAGGAACCACGTTGACCGGCTCTGCCCTCCCCGGGGGACACGGGGCCCCCCAGATGGCAGACTGTCCTGGTGGAGCCTCTTTCCTCCAGCTTTGCCCAGGTCGCCCAGATGTGGCCCCAGCCCATGAATTAGGGTTCCTGGAGACTGTGATTCCTGCCCTGCCTGGCGACCGCCTGCCTCTGTGATGGACACCGTCTCTGGACAGACGCCTGCAGGGCCCACGCCGAGGCCTCACAGACCTCCCTGGCCACACCTCTGGAAACGTGCTCTGGGGTCTGCACGTGCTGAGGCCCAGTGTCGGCCGGGGACGGGGGCTGGGAGCTCGTGCTCCGCTGGCCGGGGGCGAGTGTCCCCCACTTGTAACCCTCAGAGAGAGGGGAGGGGACCTCCACTGGCCAGCAACATTGGCAGCCTCAACCCCGCTCCTGCAGGAGGCGCTGGCCGCAGCAGAAGCGTCCCTCCTGGACAGACGGGCGGTATGCAGGTCACCAAGAATGACTGCGGGGTCACTTAGCCGGCGTCCCTGGAGCTGGTGTAACTGAGCAGCCTCTGACAGTGAAGCTTTAACTGGTTCCTGATTCCCCACTAAGCGAACCGTGTGAGGAAAACGAGGTGGATGAGCTAGCCGCCAAGACGCTGGGGACCCGGCATCCTCCCGAGGTCTTTCCAGTACCCGCTGACGGGAAGAAGGAAGGATTCCGGCAGAAGCTGAGGCTGGCTGCACTGGTGGAAGGGGACTGTTCAGGTCTGAGCATGTGTGTGGTGCCATGGGATGTGGCAGTTCGTACCTGAACACGCTCTTCTTGTCTGCAGACCCCAGACCACAAGACCCTCAGACCTCTTGAACAGTTTGTTCCCAAGATTCTTAAAGTGGAGATAATGAAAGATTGACATGGAGGGTTAGTTTCTGAGAAAATCATCGTGTAGTAACGACCTACACTTTTCCAGTTGCTGATGTTAATACAAACCCATTCACATGGACTGGCCATCAGCTAGGTCCAGGCCCCTTGACCGGCATTATTGCAGGTGTGATGGCATCGTTGTCCTCAGGCACCTCCCTGCTTCCTTTCGAAACACACTCAGTCGCTTTATTCAATGGAACGCACAGCGTAGGTGGGACCAGCCACCGCAGAACATGAGTTCATCTTATTCTCCCAAATGATGGTACAGAGAAGACTGAACAATGGGACTTTTGCAGGAAACCCAAGGGGCGGCTGTTCTAGAGGGAAATTCCTCGAGTCGTGTGACCAGATGAATCCCCAGCCTCCTCTTTGGTTCTGAATCCCAGGCAGCCGGGGAGGGGTATCCCAGCAGAGGCCTCTGTTTCCCCGTTGGGGTGGACTCCAGGACACTTTGGGATCCTGTGGGATGTGTCATCGTCTGGGGTCCCCGCCCACGGGGACGCTGATACCTGCTCATCCCCCGGAGCCCCCAGGCCAGGCAGCTTTGGCCTCGTCCACGTGGGGGCCCAGGAGGGCTGTCCAAGCCATGCTGACTCTGGGGCGCCTTGATCCACAGGCTAAGGGGCGTCTTAACCAATGTGAGGGAAAGTGGTGCCGGCCTGAACCGCTGTTCGGAGTCATCTTGCAGGGAGCGCATCCCGGGTGGGTTGAGCTGGGGTGAGCCAGAGAGGGGCGTGGGTGGGGAAGGGAGCTGTGGGTGGGGGGTCACAGACGGAAAGCAGGGTGGGACAGGCCCTGGTGGGTTGATTCCCGAGCCTGCCCACCCCTGAGATGCCGCGTTCTCTCGGACATAATGGGAATAAAAGCGCAGCTGTTGAACGAGTGGGAGTGAGCATGCGTGTCCAGGCCCTGGCGAGGACTTGGCATGTGGTCCCCGTCATCTCTGCACCGCGGGCCCTCCTGGGAGAAGGGGCAGGAGAGCTGTGCAGACCGCTGGTCGGAGCTGCAGAGCTGTGGCTCTCTCTTCACGAGGGTCCCTGCCCACCCTGAGGCTGGAGGACAGGCGGGGCCGAGGGCCTGTGCGGGTGGGAGGCGCCCCGGCTGTCGCGGGACTGGGTTCGCCACAGGGCCTGCCCCAGGGGCTCCCCTGGTGGCTCAGCTGGTAAAGAATCTGCTGCAATGCAGGAGACCCAAGTTCGATCCCTGGGCTGGGAAGATTCCCCTGAAGAAGGGAATGGCAACCCACTCCAGTATTCTTCCCTGGAGGATTCCATGGACAGAGGAGCCTGGCAGGGCTACAGTTCATGGGGTCGCAAAAGAGCTGGATATGACTGGATGACTAACACTTTCACTTTTCTGCTGTGTGTGTCTGCCGTAGTATTTGCAGAGCTTAAGTTCTTAGAAAAATTCTTAGTTTATTAAAGCCTCATTCCTATCAACGTTACAGTTCAGTTCAGTCGTGTCTGACTCTTTGCGACCCCATGGACTGCAGCACGCCAGGCCTCCCTGTCCATCACCAACTCCCGGAGTTTACCCCAGCTCAAGTCCATTGAGTCGGTGATGCCATCCAACCATCTCATCCTCTGTCATCCCCTTCTCCTCCTGCCCCCCAATCCCTCCCAGCATCAGGGTCTTTTCAAATGAGTCAGCTCTTTGCATCGTATGGCCAAAGTATTGGAGTTTCAGCTTCAGCATCAGTCCTTCCAATGGATATTCAAGGTGATAAATGGCATCTAAATGCAACATGATAACACCCGTTTCCATTAGAGGAGGGTGCATGACTTCAGCCAGGCAGACGTCCCCACGGCAGCCCTGCAGTCCATTTTAGAGCTGTGATCACAGCATCTTGCATCCAGGATGTTTGTTTACATGTCAAAAATTGGGGCTGAAGTGAAACAGGCTGGGGCAGAGTCAGCAGGGAAGCACAGCGAACACGCCTGGCTGTGTGTGCCTGCGGCAGATCGCCTCCCAGCTGCGATCGTGGTGCAGGGGTGGTCAGTGGACCTCCAGCTGCAGGAGCACCAGGCTTGTCAGCATTCGGCTCTGGCAGAGCTGCAGTCTCTGAGTCTGCAGCCCTATTGCAGCTATTGTAGGGCTACAGTATTGACCTATTGTAGCTCTGTTTGCCTTGGGGAGTGGGCGGCTCTATGTTGCTCTGAAGGAGGAGGCTCTGTGCTTGAGTGAGCTGCCTGTGTGGAGGGGAACACAGGTCAGTGGTGAGACTAAACATTGGCGCCTGCCGTCTGCTCTATGGGGCTGAAACCACAGTGGCTGCGGCTGCTGACCTTCAGAGACCTGAAGGCGCTCAGGGTGGCGATCAGGATGACCGGGGTGAGGGGTGGTTAGGCAACCATCAGAACAAGGCTTTGGGTAGACATTTTCAGGAGAGGTTCTTGGGAGTCCATTTCCTTGCGTCTCCTTATATCTTGAAAAGCACTAAAATCATTTGTAGTCATGCCTGTTCCTTGTGACCAGCAGAAGCCTTCTATGAAAACATGTATTTGATTGAACGCACTTCCCTTCAGCAAAATCACATGTATCCTGACCTTGCCTCTGCCTCTTCAGAGAAGCTCCGCAGAGCTGTCTGTGATGCCGTTTCCCGGGCTGAAGTCCTCATTTTGCCCCAAATAAAAGCTAATTGGCAGCTGTCGCATTGTGCGTGTGTCTTGGTTGACGAGGGGTCCCTTGGCTGGTCCCGGCCCAGGAGAGCCTGGCGCCTGCTGCAGGGGTAATCTGACTGCAGCTTCCTGGGCCTGGCCTGGGTTTGGGGAGTCCGGGCTGGTTGGCCAAGGGCCTCGCTGCCACATGTCGGGGAGGGTCCTTTCTGGGGGCGTTGCTGGGAGCAGTCAGAAGCTGCGTTCAAGGTCACGCTGTGATAGTGTGTGAGCTCCCCGGTGCCGTGTGGGCAGAGGGAGGATTCGAGAGAGCGGTCCTTAAACAGCACCCCGCTGACACAGGCCCTCCCATGGACACACGGGTCCTCACGGGGCAGCGGCCCCAGGGTTAGAGCCCAGGCTCTGAGCTCCGTCCCAGACCCCAGCTGCTCCCTCTGCCCATTCCTAGTGAAAATGAGGGCGCTCTGGGAACACCCCTGTTCCCGGTTCATCAGGGTCTCCTGGGGGGGCCCTGAGCACCCATATGCATTATGGATGATCCCCAGTGTCATCAGCGTGGTTCCAGCACGTAGCCCACGTAGTTTGGGAGCCCACGTGGTTCCCAGCACGTAGTTTGGGAGCCTTTGCTCTGGAATCAAGTCATTGGGTAGAACCCCCGCAGTTCTGTTCATAAACAACTCACTGCATTTCTCAGCTGTGGGGTGCCATGAGGCGGAAAACACAGCACTGACCTAACACTCATTCTCAGGGAAAAACCATGACTCGTGTTGCAGGTGAGATACACCCTGACCCTAGCAAAATTGCAATAAGGAAAATACGCATAAGAGTCAAGGAAATATGCTATTTGAATAAGAATTCAGAAAATTCTTATTTGAATAAGAATAAGCTTATTGAGTAAGCTTAATAAGAATTAAGCTTTCCAAATTTAGGCATATCTTCAAGGTGAAGTTAACGCTCGACTGACAAAGCAAGGTTCCCCATAATCTGAAAGCCGGGTCCATGAGCTAAGCCAACCAGAGGAAATGAAATGGGGAACTGAGCAGAGAAGTTTGGAAGATAAAGCGCACAAAGCATGATGCGAGATCTCGGCAAGATCTCGGAGCCCTAGAGACTGGAATTCTGAATGATTTGGTGCTGAAATATAAAAGCTAATGTTGTGTCAACCAACCACTTACACAAGCATTAAACATGTGCATGTATATGTCACAGACACTTACACACACACCACAGGATGCACCGAACTCTCCTGAAGGAGAAGAGACAGGCTTGGAGAGGTTGAGTCATAAACCAAAGATCACACAGTGGGTTTGGACGCAGACAGCCTCACTCCACAGCCTGCCCTGGAGTCCTGAGAAAACACTGCTCGTATTAATGCAAACCTGTGATTTCTTTAAGGTGAGTTTAAGGTCAAACCTACAGTGAGCAGACACCATCTGGCATCTCCACCGTTTCTTTCTTGAGTCTTGAACCTCAGAGGCCATGGACCCCGTTAAGTAAGCCTCCTCGGAAGACATCCAGAAGCAAACGCTCACAGTATGTGACCCACGGTTCACTGCCTCCCGGAAGTCAACACTGGACCAAGTTCATAACCCCCTCTTCCTGGAATATCACTGACCTCCGGTCATCCTCAGGGCCTGGCCAGGCTGATAAACACTCTGACCCCACTTCTTAGAAGAAAGGGGAAGGGCATTTATTTTGATGTTTATTTTGGAGAAAAAAGCGAAAGATATTTAAGAAATCTCAGAACTGTTTGCAAAAAAATTTCCAAGTTATCACAGGAAGGAAGTGGCAGACACAGACTGTGGGGGAACCGGAGGGCAGAGCCAGCAAGCATCAAAGAGGAGATCCCGCAGGGAAATCTCACCTGTATGAAAGGACGGCTTGCCCCCAGTTACCATTGCCTCCAGATGAATAACTCTAATTGTGAGTGACGGGAATCTCTGCTAAACTCGAAACCACCTAACTCTGAACGAAGAGGAGCAGAGGCTTGGAGGGGAGCCTCGGGGGGTTTTCAGGGGGTTCTGGTGAAGGGAGCCGGGCTGCGCCTTCTTCTGTGATGGCCTCGTCTCTGGGGCCTTCTTTAGATCATAACTGTGGGCAAAACCAGGAAGGGACCATGGCTACTTCCTGCACAAGAGCTCAGCAACTACCCTTAAATGAGCCGATGTGTGGCAGCCTCCCCTCACTGAGACAGACGTGGAGGGTAAGACCCTAGAAATGCAACCCGG